ACTCTCTAGGAGATTTGTACTAATGCCCACAAAGGATCCTGCATGGAACTGCACACACTTAAAAGGAATAAATTTATCATGCTTAAATTACATCTCAATAAAATTAATTTTCAAAAGAGTAACTTGTATCTGAATAGACATCTTGATTTGCAGCAATTGTTATGAAATGGTTTTTGGTTACCAGAATTCCTGTGTTAAGCTAAGTGAATAGTTGGAAGTCCTATAATGAGTAATGGCATTAGAGGTCCAGAAGTTTCGATTCTGTTTCTGCTTCAAACAAGACCATCCTACCTCAAGAGCTGATAACAGCACCTGCCAGTTACACTCTGAGAATACCATCTCCGCTGCTTAGGGAGGAGACATGCATAAAAGTGCTGGCCAGGACACCAGGGGACACAGAGAAGGACCAAGGACTGGGCTGATCTGCTTCATTAGAGTTCATCAGTGGCCATTTCCTGGGGAATTCAATCAGGGATTGCTATCTGAGAATGAGCACACAGGGGTGGAAACACCCAAACAAGAAATACGGTGACCACAGTAATGAATTCACAGTAATGAATGAACGCCGTGGCCTAAGTCGGGGTGGAAGCATCTCACCCTGTCCAGAAGATGGGGACTTTCACTTTGTACCGCAGAAGAATCAGGACAGTGTGCAGTGCTTTCTGCTGGTTCCCCAGCACCATCCGGTCACCGCCTGCACCCCTGTGTCTCTGTCGTCTCTCACTTCCCAGTGCTTCTAGCAGATGACAGCACTATTGTAAGAATAGTGGTAACACTTGCAATGCAAATATAATAGTAATGAATTATTAATATTACACAGGGCTGGCCCGAGGACAGTCCGGTTAGCCAGATACTGCCAGGCTGAACCACTTACTGGATTAAAACCTACCTGTGGTCGGTTTAGGAAAAGGTAACTCCTTCATCCTGATTCTGCTGGAGTTGTCTGCGCCCTCTAGTGGAAGTAAGTTTGAGGGGAAAAAAAAAACACACACACCGATAGCCCCAGACCTTTCTCAAATATGTGTGTATGGTTGCATTATCAGCCACTGAAACTTGATGACACAGAAACTAACCTTTTGAGGCAGTAATGAATAGTGTAGTATCAGGTTACATTAAATAAATAAATCCTCTGTAACACAGTTTATTGTCTCATTCAGAAAAGAAGTCCAACATACTGGAGTAAAAGAAAAGCTCATCAGAGAACTGGGTCCACATCCGGTGTCTCTGCTTTGCCTGGGGATGATGATACTGGCGTGACGGTGGCTGTCTTTAAATTTTCTTAAGGAAAACTCGGGTTACCTCTGTTCACACTGAATTAGTAGTATGCAACCATTTCAAGGATGTTGTGCATCTGCGCCAGACTGGTTTAGCCAGTGCAGGGCACCCAGCAGTCAGCCCAAGGATGCTCACGTGCCTGGTCTGCCTCCAGTGCCAAGTGGGAAACAAACCAGAAACCTGTTCCACATTTCACATTAGCATGGAGATTTCTTTACAGTGGTAACAGTGGTATCACAAATCTCAAACTCTGAAATTTTACAATTAGTGAGATATCACCATGTCTACTAAAATATACTTACAAATCAAAATTAAGTCAGTGTTTTCCCTTCTGAGTTTTCACTGTGGTTGACATAAAGATACTGAAATTTTTCAGTGAAGGAGACCCATTCATTCAAGTTAGTTTACAATTCTCTTAAATTTTATGTACTTCAAGGGTGAAAGACCATGGAGTTCTTTTCCCTGGAACAATTCTCATTGAACCGTCTGCAACCTCTGAGAAACACTGTGTTTCAGCTCCATATCTTCCAAAAAAGCACAGTTCCTCTTGACACAGAAGAAACAAACAGATGGGTCTGTATCAGTATATACAGTAGGAGCATATTAAGCCATAAAAACTAAATCCTCCTGTCAAGAAGGAAAGTCTGGATGTTGCTTTGCCACTGTCTTTGTCTGGAGATGAAGGATCAGAGAAGTAGATTTCCCCTGCCTTAGAGAAAGAATGGAGAGAAGACCCCAGAGAAGGGCCAACGCATGCTGAGCCTTCAGAAATGCAAGGGCAATGGGGACAGCTGTGGTCTCCTCCTGTCTGGAGTGTGCGTATGGTTCACCTGGGCTTCCACAAGACCCATACTTCACTATGGAATTAATAGTAAAACATGCATTTCTTCGCTCGAGCCCCAGAGCTTCTGTTTTAGGTCTTAGCCTCAGCTGGATAATTTGCATGTCTACCAGGTTCCCAAATGACACTAATATGGCTTGTCCGGGGACCCATCTTCAAGAACCATTGTTATAAGAGAAAATGAGAAGGTTCTGCTTTGGGTTGTTTGCCATGAGTTTCTAGATAATCAAACATCCCTGTTTGTCTGAGACAAATGATTTCCCTGGCCTGTGATTTTCAGGGCTCAAACTGGAGTCTCCAGCAAGACAGAACTATTTGTCCCCATACTGCAGATTCAAGACATTTTCAGAAAAGAGCTTAAAAACACTCGCAAATGCTTCTACACCAAAACTTTGTGTGCTTTCTTTTAAATTGATGTCAATTAATTTTAATCTTTCTTATTGATACAGTAAGATTACCTCAAGTCTGGACTTTGCATTTTGGAGGCTGCCATCTATGATTTTGGCCCAGGATAGCCTGGTACTTCTGCTGTAGCTGGAACTAATTGTCACCTTAGAAACAAGGAAATTCTTACAATGACCAGAGTGAAGGCACAGCCACAGGTGAAAGGGGCCAATCGGAAGCAGATTCCTGCTGGGACTGACAGTGCAGAGTGACAAGTCCTTGTACAGATTCCTCCGTTGTCACAGCAAAGACCACAGAAATCCAGATTCCTCTGCTAACATAGCAAAGACCTTCACAGAGATCCAGCGTTCAGGAGTGGGTTTCACACAGTTAAAGAGTATGCGGTGTCAAGTGAGCTCAACAAACTAGGAAAATCTGAATTGGTCACCATGTACTAGGTTCTGTGGCTGTAAGGAATGTACAAACGTAATGACTTTAACCAGCTAAGTTTTATTTCATGCTCACACAACCCATCCTCAGAACCACCATAGAAAGTTCCCATTTAAAGAATGTGTACTTAAGTATATATATATTTAAGAGAGTACACACACACATGGGGCACGGGCGGGGGAAGAAGAGTACTTCCAATGGCTGGTTCCCACAACAAATGTCCGCAAATGCTAGGGCTGAGCCTGGCTAAATCCAATAGCCAGAATTCAATCCAGCCCTTCCAAGTGGGTGGCAAGGACTCAGTTTTTGCTGCCTCCCTGGGAGTGCGCTGGCGGGAAGGCAGAACTGAGAACAGAGCCAGGACTCCAGCTCAGGCACTGGCGACTTGACTTGTTTTCCAAACACTGCTCCAACCCATTTTCTCCCCACTGGCGACTTGACTTGTTTTCCAAACACTGCTCCAACCCATTTTCCTCCACGAGACAGCATGAAATGAATTCAGTTGATGGTCAGTGATGGTGGGATTGTCCAACCTAGTGATCACGCTCTCACACAAAACAAACACCTGTGGAAAGTAGGGTTGGAATCCTAAAAGCAGAGTATCAGCTGAATGTTGATGATGGTCTGGTTTTTGAAGATAAAATTAACACAGTGTAACTTCCTTAAATCTCTGGAAGTACTGCTTTTCACAGGAGGCTACCTTAGAGGGGTGACTGGAGTGCATATGGGATGAGATGTTTAACAGAGCTGTTGGTGGCAGGTATCAGGGAAAGCAGTGTATCACATACATGTCGAGCCCTGTCCAGCTCCCTCCACAACGCGCACTCCTTTGAGGGAGAGTGAGTGAGCGGCAGGTTATGTAAGTCATGCCGGGCAGGTGGCTGGGTCTGGGCCAGTTGCTTACTGATCATGTCAGTCTCTTGGCACCTGAATCACCGGGAGTGGATCCCAATAATCAAATGGGAGAGGAAGAGGAAAACACAGCTCCCTATGAGTCCCATTAGGATCCAGGTGTGATTGAGACGTTCTCACGTAGCCCCTCATCCACCTGCTGCTCCTACCCAGGAACGGGCAGAGAAGACTAGGGGGGCACTGAATTCAATTTAAGCACGGTCCCTCGTCGAGAAAGGCAGAAGGAGCTTTAAGGGAGAGACAAATCCCCACTCCTTGGTGTAGTCCACCGAAGGCTGCCTGAGTGAGCTGACCTCAGCCCATTCCGATACAGATCATCGCCAGCCACGCTCCAGGCAAAGTCACGAGACGTGATGTACCCTCTGCATGCTTTAAATGACGCCCCTCACCTCCTGCCCCCAAGTCCCAGCCTCGGGGTACAGGCATCCTGCGACGTCTCCACGGCCTGTGCACACAACAGGACGCTAACAGCCGGATTTGCCTGAAACACCCCGAATCCTAAACTGAAGGGTTTCCCAACTCCCAGACACTGAGGTCTGGCCGTCTGCGCGCGCTGAGAGCGCCTCTGGGAGAAAATCCACCTTTCCAAACAGAGATCTTTGAACCTCAGAATCCGCTCCCTCCTTAAGTGGTTTGTTTTTTTTTTTGTTTTGTTTGTGTGTGTGTGTGTGTGTGTGGTTTTTTTTGACAGGCAGAGTGGACAGAGAGAGAGAGAGAGAAAGGTCTTCCTTTGCCGTTGGTTCACCCTCCAATGGCCGCCGCGGCCAGCGCACCGCGCGGATCCGATGGCAGGAGCCAGGTCAAGGTCCAGGCTCATTCGGCTCCCACAACCAACGCTCCAGAAGCCAGGAAGCTACCGTCCCGGCGGTACCGAAGGCTTCGAGTTACTCGGCTCCCTGCAGGAGGAGACCGGAACTGGGGGATTAGAAACGCGGAGCACGTCCGCCACCTTCCGGTGAGCGATGGGAGCCGACAGCCGACAGCGAACGGAAGCCGCGCGAATCCCGCGCGGGCGGATCCCGAGACCCGCCCCTGCCAGGGGCTCCGACCACTCCGTGCGCCGCGGGCCATGCGATTGACAGGGCGACAGTCCGGTCCGTTACTGAAAGTCTTCACTCCGGAAACAGGGACCCGGCCCTTCCGGGCCCGCGCGCTCCCGGCATCCTCTGCCTTCCGGCGCTGCTTAGCCCCGTCCGGCCAGTCCCGCCTTGCGCGCCCATTTCGAGCCCGGGTTTGGAGGCTGAGATTTTATTTCTTCTGGCAGTGGGCTCCTGCGCAGGGGCTATGGGCGCAGGGATGGCGCAGCTGGAGGGCTACTACTTCTCGGCTGCTTTGAGCTGTACCTTTTTAGTGTCCTGCCTGCTCTTCTCCGCCTTCAGCCGGGCTCTGCGGGAGCCCTACATGGACGAGATCTTCCACCTGCCGCAGGCGCAGCGCTACTGCGAGGGCCGCTTCTCCCTCTCGCAGGTGCGTCCCCGCCCTGGGCCCGGCGGCGCGCCGTTGGCGTCCGCGCCGCGGAGCGGAGGGGCGCGGGGTGACGCGCCTGTGCGCGATCTGGGGTGCAGATGCGGGTCGAGGGAGCAGTGACAGTGACGGGGGTGGAGACGCGCGCAGGACTGCGCGCCCGGCGCCCCCAGCGGCTGAGGGGCCCTGCCCCGGTCTGCCCCCCGCCCCGGTCGGGTCCTAGGCAATTGCGTGGTTTAGCTCATCTGTCCGTCACCGCGCTCTGTCGTGGGTGTTTTGAGCATCGTGGAGTGACAGCGCGCTGGTTCCGTCCCCGGGTGTTAGGGGGAACCCCTGGTGGCCCAGTAAACCGCAGCCAGCCACGCGCCTCGTGTCTGAATGTGTATTTGACCACACACCCCTCTAGTCGGGTACAGAAATGAACATTTCGTTCCTCGTCCGTCGGTGACCCAGTGAGTGCAGGGTGCTGGTTGGAGATGCAGAGAGAAGGACCTGCGTCTGAATCTCAGCGCTGCCGGCTGCTGGCTGCGTGACCTTGGCATGTTTCCCAGTTTGGGGTTTCTCCGTCCCACGAGTAGCCACTCCAGGGGGTGCTGCCAGGGAGAATACGGGGCTTCAGCACAGCTCCTGGCTCAGTGCGTGTTCCTCCGCTCAGCAGCTTTGAACCAAACTCCCTAAGCCCATCAGGGTGCCAAGCCTTGTTTCCATGCCTTTCACAACTCGGACTCCGTCCCAAGAGCAGATATTGAAAAACAGGAACAGAGTTTAAGTTGTTGCCTGTTGATTACCGATACCGTACAAAACAGGGTCAAGGTTGGGGCAGAATAAGGAAAAGACACCCAAGACGTGTGGTCTGCTGAGGACTTTAACCCTGAGGTCGAGTCGCGTCTTCCCACTCCCGGTCAGGGGAGACTTGATTAGTTGGCGTCTGTGCTGTGAGGCCCCCTCCTGCTTTGGTTCAGTGTCTAACTTTTCATTTTCCAGTGGGATCCCATGATTACCACGCTGCCTGGCTTATACCTGGTGTCGGTCGGCGTGGTCAAGCCCGCCACTTGGATCTTCGGGTGGTCGGAACACGTCGTGTGCTCCATCGGGATGCTCAGATTTGTCAACCTTCTCTTCAGTGTCGGCAACTTCTATTTACTGTATTTGCTCTTCCGCAAGGTGCAACCTAGACACAAGGTATGTTTCAGGACAACTCATGGCTTTATGTTCAGTCAGGCCCACAGTTACGGTGAGTGAGCTGTATGAGATTGGTCGAAAACATATCTTTACCATTATCTTATTTCACCTGCTTACTCAGCATCTTCCACGTGAGACAGCCTCTTTTCCTGGTGGAACTCATGTCTTCATTAATGATGGAACTGGGGCTGCCATTATGGCGTAGCAGGTAAAGCCACTGCCTGCAGTGCCGGCATCCCATATGGGTGCCAGTTCGAGTCCCAGCTGCTCCACTTTTGATCCAGCTCTCTGCTATGGCCTGGGAAAGCAGTAGAAGATGGCCCAAGTCCTTGGGCCTCTGCACCCATGTGGGAGACCTGGAGGAAGCTCTTGGCTGCTCACTTTGGATCGGCCCAGCTGTGGCCACCTAGGGTGTGAACCAGTGGATGGAAGACCTTCTCCCCCCCCCCCCCCCCCGCCTTCTCTGTAACTCTGCCTTTCAAATAAATAATTAAATGTTAAAAAGAGAGAGAGAGAAATATAACCGATCTGAGGAATTTTGCTGGGATTTAAGAGTGCAAGCCTGGGGCCAGCATTGTGGCACAGCACGTTAAGCTATCACCTACCAATCTGGCATCCCATAAGGGTGCTGTTTTGAGTCCCAGCTGCTCCACTTCTGATCCAGCTCCCTGTTAATGTGCCTGGGAAAGTAGTAGAAGATGGCCAGAGTGTTTGGGGCCCTGCCCCCTCCTCCCCCATGTGGGAGACATGGGTGAGGTTCCAGGCTCCTGGATGTGGCCTGGCGCAGCCCCAGCTCTTGCAGCCATCTGGGGGAGTGAACCAGCAGATGGATGATCTTGCAATCTCTTTCTCTCCCTCTCTCTCTACAACTCTTTGAAATGAATCGATCTTTTTTTTTTTTTCCTTAGGGGAGGTGCTAGAAGTATATGGCCTGGGTTTAAATTCTGCCCTGCTTCTTCCTAGTTGTGGGCAGGTTTAAACTCTTAGTGACTGTCTGTCTTCAAGTATTAAATAGGAATAGAAATAGAATCCACCTCCTGGAACAGCTAGGAAGAGGAAAGCCGCTTAATAAATGGAAGGCGTTTAAAATAGTACCTGATGTACTATTCAGTGTAATCATTACCAAGTGATGAGATGGCTTCAGTAGTGGTGACCATGAGAGGGAGGTAGGCGTAAAAGACCAGGAGCACAGGGGCGTTGGAGCAGCCTGAGTGGGAGGGCGGGCCGAGGGGTCCCAGGGAAGATGGCACCAGAGCTGTCTCTGGCTGATCAGATCGGGCTGTAGGGTGGGCACTGAGCAGCAGGCTCGGAACTGCAGGACCTCAGAGGACAGCGGTGTGTGGCTGGGGAGCAAGGGCGGAAGTCCTGGGTGTGTTCACGTGTGGTGGAGAGGACTGAACTTCGGTGGGTGACGGAGAGACCCTGACTTTGCTCACGGGAATGACGTGCTGTGATTGGCTGATTCAGAGTAAGTGGAGGATACAATTTAAGGAGATGAGAACACTTTCAGAGGGCCATCAAAGAAGGACGTACTCCTCTCTGAAGGGAGGAGGGAACACCCACTTTGCTTATGGCTGTGTCCAAATACCGATGGAGTCTCCGGTCACAGAAGGCTTCCATAGCATTGGCAGCCCATGGAAAGAACCTTGGGTGATCACTGATATCATAAACAAAGTGTTAATTGTTAAATGAACAACAGGAGTCACTGTGCACTTGCTCCCCATGTAGGACCTGTGTCCTAATGAGTTGTACTATGAGAATCGACTGCAAATCTTGTTCTCAAACTGTATTCTGTATGGTGTGTGTGTGTGTGTGTGTGAGAGAGAGTGAGCAAACTGTTGAAATCTGTGCTTAACACGTAGTTGGTCCTCTGTATATAAAGTCAAACTAAAAATGAAGCAGAATGAAGAAGGAGATGGGAGAGGGGGAGGGAGGTGGGGTAGGAGTGGGGGGAGGGTATGGGTGAAGGAACCATTGTATTCCTAAATCTGTATCTGAAAAAATGCATTCATTAAATAAAAACTTAGAACACAGCACACCTTCGGAGCTGGAGCCGCCTGCCAGGACGCCCTAAAGGAGGCCTTTTCCAGACAGCCCGCTGCCCGCGGGGAAGGAAGGGCCTGCAGGCTCCTGGCGCCAGGGGTCCGCGGTGTGCGGCGGGCGCAGTGCCGGCTTTCCAGGAGGTGGTGGGTTCGGGCCCCGGCGGGCGCAGTGCCCGCTTTCCAGGAGGTGGTGGGGTCGGGCCCCGGCGGGCGCAGTGCCGGCTTTCCAGGAGGTGGTGGGGTCGGGCCCCGGCGGGCGCAGTGCCGGCTTTCCAGGAGGTGGTGGGTTCGGGCCCCGGCGGGCGCAGTGCCGGCTTTCCAGGAGGTGGTGGGGTCGGGCCCCGGCGGGCGCAGTGCCGGCTTTCCAGGAGGTGGTGGGTTCGGGCCCCGGCGGGCGCAGTGCCCGCTTTCCAGGAGGTGGTGGGGTCGGGCCCCGGCGGGCGCAGTGCCGGCTTTCCAGGAGGTGGTGGGGTCGGGCCCCGCCCGCAGGACTGGCGCTCCTGGCGGGGCTGGCTCCGTGTGCCCCCCAAGCAGCCCGCCGTCTCGCGCTCAGTGACGCCTCTGCGCTTTACTGGATGGTTCAGGATGTCGCGGCGCACACGCGCATTCTCCTAGCGGCTTGGAACCCGCTGGGTGTCACTGAAAAGCGCCGGGCAGTGTTTCCTCCTGAATATACGGTGCGCCCTCGGCGAGGCCAGACATGAAATTAGCAGTGCGTGGTTTGCATACGTGCCGGCGGCCGAGGCTCGGCGGCGATTCTAACCGTGTTTCCCTCTCCCCCCAAGGCCGCCTCAAGCGTGCAGAGGATCCTGTCCACCGTCACGCTGGCCGTGTTCCCCACGCTCTACTTCTTTAACTTCCTGTACTACACGGAGGCGGGCTCTCTGTTCTTCACGCTGTTCGCCTACCTGATGTGCCTGTACGGCCACCACAAGACGTCGGCGCTGCTCGGCTTCTGCGGCTTCATGTTCCGCCAGACCAACATCGCCTGGGCCGCCTTCTGCGCGGGCAGCGTGCTGGCGCAGCGGCTGGCCGAGGCCTGGAAGGCCGAGCTGCAGAAGAAGCGCGAGGAGCGGCCGGCGGCGCGCGGGCCCTGCCCGGAGCTGCGCCGGCTGCTGCGCTTCGTGGGCGCGCAGGTGCTGGCCGCCAAGGCGCTGGGCGCGCTGCTGCGGCTCACCTGGCCCTACGCGCTGCTCGGCGGCGCCTTCTGCGTGTTCGTGGCCGTGAACGGCGGCGTGGTGGTCGGCGACCGCAGCAGCCACGAGGCCTGCCTGCACGTCCCGCAGCTCTTCTACTTCTTCTGCTTCACGCTGGCCTTCGCCTGGCCGCACCTGCTGTCGCCGGGCCGGGCGCGGGCCTTCCTGGGCCTGGCGTGGCGGCGCCGGCTGGCGTTCTGCGCGCTCGCCCTGCTCTCCGTGTTCCTGGTGTGGAGGTTCACCTACGCGCACAAGTACCTGCTGGCCGACAACAGGCACTACACGTTCTACGTGTGGAAGCGGGTCTTCCAGAGGCACGCGGCCGTCAAGTACCTGCTGGTGCCCGTCTACCTGTTCGCCGCCTGGAGCGTGGCCGACTCGCTCAAGGCCAGATCCGTGTTCTGGAACTGCGCGTTCTTCGCGTGCGTGGCGGCCGTCACGGTGCCGCAGAAGCTGCTGGAGTTCCGTTACTTCATCCTGCCCTACGTCATGTACAGGCTGCACCTGCCGCTGCCGCCCACGTCCCGGCTGGCCTGCGAGCTGGGCGGCTACGTCCTGGTGAACTTCCTCACCTTTCACCTCTTTCTGAACAAGACTTTCCAGTGGCCCAACAGTCCGGACGTGCAGAGATTCATGTGGTGACGCCAGGGGGCCTTGGCAGCAAGCGGACTTGAACACGGCGCACAGCTGACACGTGGAAGCCGGGAGGCTGCTTCCAGGCGCAGTCGGGAGGTCCCATCAGGGTTTTTTGTCTGACTTAGGGGTCGGCGGAGCTGAGATCACTCATGCTGCTTTGAAAACTTCCGTCAGATAATGTTTGTAGTATTTTTGGTACCCAGCAGTGCCCAGTTCAGAGGGCCAGCTTTAGTTTTTAACTTCATCTTGGACAAGTTTATCATGAAGAAGCACATTTATGTTTCGTCCAAGTGTGAACTGGAATCCTGTGTCGTCGTATGGCCCCACTCGGAGGAGCCCTCACTCTCTTGGATGTAATGAGTTCAGTTTGTGTCAGAATTACGGCCGTTCTGTGTGAATCTGGTCAAGAGACAGGGTTTTCACATGCGGCTTAAAATGCACAGTGAACCAGGGAAGTTCAGTAATGAGAAAATGCAAGCCTGCCTCAAAGTGAAGCCTGAATAATGGAAAAATAAAATTGTTTGCAATTCTGTCATGATCTCTCTCTCATATTGCAGGCCAAAGTGCTTGGAAAATTTATATACAAGTTTAAGAAAATTGAGGACGTTGATAGTGCTGCAAATAACTAATTTATTTCTTCTGAAAGATTTAGCAGAGTGAAAAATACTACGTATGATCAGGTTATATTCTTGATTGAAAATTATTTAGCGTCTCAATACATATATTCTTGATCATAAGTCAGAATAGACTGTGGAGATAGGAAAGGGTGAGTTAGAGGCTCATCGGAGAGTTTTTTAAGAAGTTTGTGGAAAATGCTCATAGGAAAAACTCTGCATGGTTTTTAGTTTTTTTGCCCCAAAATAAATTTTTTGTTGACTTTTTGAAGTACCTTTATATGTATTAGGAATCAGATTGTTGGTTTGTGCTTACAATTTGAGAGTGGTGGAACCCCTTCCCTGACTCCTGATATGAAATCTGGTGGCCAAAGATAGTTAGCGTTGACTGCCACCCCTTTGGGAAGGGTCTGCTCTCCGAAACACAGTGCAGTGTTAGTTTCCTGGGGCGGCTGGAACGACCACCCACCAGCGCGTGCTGACTTGAGAGTACTTCCCAGTTCTGAAGGCCAGAAGTGTGACCTCGGAGTGTCGTCACGGCCGGATCCTCCTGGAAGTTCTAGCTTCTGGTGGTGGTCTTGGCTGATTGACGCATCACTGCCGTCTCTTCCACTGTCCTTTCTCGCAGCCTTCCTCTCTGTCTTCTTTGCGAGGGCAGTGTCCTTGGGTGTGGGGCTCACCCTGCTCCGGGTGACCTAACGCGGAGACGATAACTGTACCTACAGAGACTTTCCAGATGAGGTGGCAATCGCAAGGTCTGGGTAGACAACCTTTCTGTGGAACACTTCGGAGTCTGCTGCAGTTACCAAAGGACATGTTAGGATAGACCTCGGAAGACTTTAGGAGATAATAGTCTTAGTGACATTGCTAAAGACAACTTTATGAGAACTTTAAAAAAGTGACTTCTGAGGTCGTGTATTTTAAAGCTAAAGGTAACTGGTATTTTATACCATTATCTTAAAAGGTGTTGGAATTGAAGGGGAGTTGAGAAATCATTTGCTCGTGCTTTGTAAATGAGGGACCAAGTTCTATAGTAGGACTGCTTTTTTGTTAGTTTTTGGCTTCTGTGTCTAATGTTCCTAGTGCATTCATTGAGTAGTCATTCAGTTTCAGTAAAACATTATTTTCAGCATGTCACCCTGATACATAAACTTGGAACTGTAAAACTCATCTTTTAACCTAGTTTTATGTTCACAGCTTTTTTTTTTTTTAAGATGTGTTTATTTACTTGAAAGGCAGAGTTACAGAGAGGCAGAGAGAGAGAGAGAGAGAGGTCTTTCATCCACTGGTTCACTCCCCAGATGGCTGCACGTCTGGAGCTGCGCGAATCCGAAGCCAGGAGCCAGGAGCTTCTGCCGGGTCTCCGTCGCAGGTGCAGGGGCCCATGTACTCGGGCCATTTTCCGCTGCTCTCCCAGGCCACAGCGGAGAGCTGGAGCAGAAGTAGAGCAGCCGGGACTCAAGCCAGCGCTCATATGGGCAGTGCCGGCTCCAGTTCACAGCTTTTAAAAACATGACAACTGAACAAACCACTCTCCCCTCAACATTGGATTATGCTTTCTCTGGCTATTGAATGATGAGTGGGTGTGGCAGGTATTTTGCATTTGTAAATATGAAGTTGTGTGCCGGTGAAAACTACAAGTGTAGTCTTGAATAGTACATGCAGAGCCTTCTTCTCAGCCGTGAGAAAGGAGGCTAAGTCACTAGTTCTAGCAGTGATTGTGGGACAAGTGTGTCTCACCCTGACTTACGCTTTTTAATTTGATGAGAATGCGTACTCGGAGAAATTGGGCTTTCATCATGAATTTATTATAATGGAGATCTAAATTTAGAAAGTCAAACTTGAAAAAAAATTTCAGATAAAACAGTTTTCCTGTCTGATACAATTCATGCAAGGAAATTTTTTGTGTTTGGTAAAATTTCTCAGAGGAAAAAGCTTTGGCTGTGATCTCGTCTGGCAAAAATGAATTAACCGTTCCAGTGCGTGTGTGGAAAACACTGCTGTTCAAGGGGATGACTGTTCCAGTTCCTTTTCGAGTCTTGAGTCCTGCTGTTCTGTGAGATTTTAGAGGAAATCCATATTCGCAGGCAAGCAAGCTCAATCCTTCATAAAGCTAGTCCATGAATTTAAAAGGTGCTATTCATTTTTTCACTATTGTTTTAAATCAGGGATGCTTCTCAATACTTGCAAGTGGATAATAAATATTTTCATTCTATGTTCTTAGGCAGTTGGGAAATAGCTGTGTGGCTGGTGAGTTTTCCAAGATGTGATAGATAGTGGTGACGTAAGAGCCACGTACACGCGACACAGCAGTCATTTTGTCTTCGTTGGTTGCACACACACCGCACGCTCACCCTTGTGACATCAGTGCACTCGAGGCAGCAGCCAGGTGGTCCTTTCGGTTCTGGCTTTTAGAAACATTCTGAGTTACTGTCGTGTCTGGAACTTTTCAAGAGTTGGCAAGTAGATATTTTTGTCGTGAATTTTTAAAAAATTAGACTTGATTGGCTTTGTTGACTAAAAGATAAATGCATTTCCCGGCTGGAGAGTCTGCTCAGTGCGCTCTGGTTCTCTGGATTCTGTGGGTTGCATTATTTCAAAGAATGCCATGGAAAGATCAAATGGGTGAACTGTTTAGATTCTGTATTCGGTCACCTTGAACTCGTTCCGATGTGTGTAACGTTTTAGAGAGCATTATCTGTAGGTAGCGTTTCTGTTTTCCTTGCACTGTGTGTTTCTTCATGTTTGTCTCTCCCCTCAGTGCTCACCCACTGTAAAAACTGCGTCTGATGAGGCACTAAATGATTTGCATATCCTGAGTTCAAATGCAGCATGTCATTTTGAGAAGAGATTATTTTAGCTTTCTGGCCTTCGTTTCCTCTTAGGGTTATTTCTGGAATATATTTGTCGTAAAATACCTTAAGAGAAATAGCTTAATGTAATTTGTTTCTAATAAACAAATAGCTCAATGTTTTTCTAGTATGAACTTAACCTTGACTTGGCTTGACAATCTCTTTTTTATAATTGTCTAAAGAACGGGGAGAAAGGGTCCACCATGTTTTGTTTTGTTTTGTTTTTTTTTACATCCCCTAAATGGTGGACTATTATTGTGGACCCACTTTTAAAAAGCAAATCCATATTCATACAAAGAAACTCATGTTTAGTAAGTTAGAAAGCGTTTATTACCTTTGGAGCAATGAGTATTTCATAAGAACGTGAAACAAGACGTGGGGTGTAAATACGAACGTGTTTCTTCTAATGAAGGCTTAGCTAGAACTTAGGAGCCCTGGGCTTGCAGAACAGCATTTGGCGTGGGAACGAGCAGTTCCCCGGTCGAATCGTTAAGGTAAGCACTTTGGTGTTTTGTCCTTTGGTGTTTATGAGAATAGTGTCTGTTCTGACTTTAGTTGGTATCTGGCATGGGCCCAGCTTATTTTATAGAGCAGTCACCCACTGTCATTTATTTACAACATTCAGAAATACCACACGTATTGTAAATATCTTCTGAATGGAGCTGTTGGAACAGAGTGAGGCAAGTATCCCAGGCAGATATGCTAATCCCCGTGGCAGGTGTTTGGAAGTACACCGTGCTTCCTCAGGAGAAGCATCCCAACCCTTTGTAGGACCCAGTGTGAGATTTTCTTATTCGCTGTAGTGTTTAATGGCTGTACATGTATTTACATATAAATATATGTTGTGTTTATAGTGTGATATGATTTCAAAATTGTTGCTCTTAATGAAATAACCTTCAGTCATTAACTTTTTTTTTTTTTTGACAGGCAGAGTGGACAGTGAGAGAGAGAGACAGAGAGAAAGGTCTTCCTTTGCCATTGGTTCACCCTCCAGTGGCCGCCGAGGCCGGCGCACTGTGGCCGGCACACCGCGCTGATCCGATGGCAGGAGCCAGGTGCTTCTCCTGGTCTCCCATGGGGTGCAGGGCCCAAGCACTTGGGCCATCCTCCACTGTCTTCCCGGGCCACAGCAGAGAGCTGGCCTGGAAGAGGGGCAACCGGGACAGAATCGGGCGCCCCGACCGGGACTAGAACCCAGTGTGCTGGCACCGCAAGGCAGAGGATTAGCCTAGTGAGCCGCGGCGCCGGCCCAGTCATTAACTTTTAATAACAGTAGAACTGGTGGACTTATTGAGACATAGTTGGGTTCTTTCTGCGAGGCTGCGTTTTCCTGCCCTCTGATAACCTCTCTGGGTCTCTTTTTCGCACCTGATGTTGACGGCAGATGTTTCCAACGTACTCAGCTTTGTGTTGCTGGGGATATTAAAGTGAAAAGGGAGGGCAAGGGGCTGAAGTTTTTTTTTGTGTTTTTTTGTTTTGTTTTGTTTTGTTTTGGTATATGTATGGATCCATGAGTTCACTAAATTTATAGAGTTTTTACTTCTAGGATAAGAAACTTTCACAGTGAAGTAATCTAATAATATCTTTATATTGTTTTTTTAATTGAAACTTTTAATTAATTTAATTTTAGGTCAGTCCACTATTAGATCAAAAGAAGTTAGGGCGTGTTTCCAACAAGAAAAGTAGACAATCCTGTGTTGATTTTTCACATGGGAGCCGATCCGCTCAGTTCAGATGAATCCGTGTGTGTGTGTGTGTGTGTGTGTGTGTTACAAACAAGATGAGGAAGAATACCAGTACCAGTAGCTGTCACGATCCTGGCTGATTGACAGGGACAGGCTGGTGTGATACTGCTCAGAGTCCTGGGAGGATGGTGACGTCTGGCTGCTGGAGTACTCCTCATACAGTAATTTATTTTTTATATTTCTTGAATTCATAAAATGTTATACTTTTATCTGAAATCATTTTTCCTCTTAAGAGGCACAAACTAAAAATTTTAATGTCGTGGCCACTTGGGGGCGGTATTGTGCTGCGTTTCAAAGTTTTAGTTTTTTGTTTTTGTTTTTTTCAGTCTCCAGCTTTACGGTTCTCCGGTCCTGTTTATTATTGTGTTATTCAGAATGCTTCCTGAAGTATTTAAAGCTGAGGGAAAGTGAAGACAGTCAGTGTTGTGTCCTGTGACTCTAGTCGATGACTTACTCTGTGCCGGCGCTCACTTCCCAGCCGCCGTGCCGAGTGCTCTGGCTGTGTTACCTCACTTAACTCTCCCAGCAGCCCTGCGGGGCAGCGCTGCGGCCAACTGCTCTGCAGGCAAGGCAGCTCAGCACGGATGCCCACGATTACAGCAATCCCGGCCCACGCAGCCCAGCTGCGCGCCCCTCTGCCCTTGCTGTGCAGCCGGGGGCCGGGGTCCACTCTGAAATGTGTGACATTTTACAAAGGGAAGTTGTAGTGCACAATGACCTTTTATAGGTCAGAAAACTGAGGCCCACAGGAACGTGGGCTGTGTGGTAGGCCACCAGTGTGTAAGGTGGGGTGGGCTGTGTGGTAGGTCACCGGCATGTAAGGTGGGGTGGGCTGTATGGTAGGTCACCGGCGTGTAAGGTGGGGTGGGCTGTGTGGTAGGCCCCCAGTGTGTAAGGCTGGGTTAGTTCAGCCCTGGTTTCCGTCTATGGAGTATTTTCTTCCTGAAGAACTGTTTATTTTAAGGGATTATGAATATACATTCCAGAAGCTTTTGAGTTTCATGTTTTGTTAAATACTGTTCTCTTAAATCGACTCGCTTATATGACTTCTAAAATTATATTGAGAATTTGTGTCATTTAAATCTGTGGTTTTGACTCAATGTATTCTTGATAAAAATAAAAGATTCATTTGCCTTTTTACAGTTTGGGTGTTTTCATTTTGTTTGTCAGTGAATTTGTGGGTTTTGGTGTCTTCACACTTGGTTGTCTCCTCCACACTGCCTCCCACCCGGTGCTAAGCTTCGTCTGTGTTCTTGAAATACTGGGACTAATGATTGTGTCTGCCGTGGGTGCCAGCCGCTAGTCTGTGTCCTCATCGTCTCCCTTGGTTTTCAGACTAACGGAAGGCAGTAAATCACCGGCTGCTCGCCTTGAACCGGTAGGGGTGTGGTTTGTTGGGCTATGGCTGTGGGAAGCCTGGAGTCTCTGCCTTCCAGAACAGCTGCACCAGCACCAGTGTGCTCTGCAAGTACCGAGTCCCGTCCAGTCCCTCGCTGCCTCCAGATGGACTTTCTTCTGGTTAGTCTGGGGGAGAGTGACCATGATAAAAGCTGGTCACTCTCTGCCCAGGAGCCACGTCTGGATCATAGCTGACTTGCATCATGTGTGGGATTTCTGCTTACAGATAGGCAGGTTGCCAGGGTTACTTTGCCCTGAGAAACTAGAAGGAAAAGTCCCTAAAAATAGTTTAGGTTGGATTAGTAGCCTTTGGGAATAAGGACGTCTGTTGTGGTCCCCTACATGCGTCGTCGTCTTTGTAGTTGTAGCCGGTGGCCATCTGATGGTACCTTGGGTGAAAAAATGGTAGCAGGAAACCCAGGAGCGGACCTGGTGTTGTGCAGGGGGCTGCTGACATGCCCTATCAGTGCCGGTTGGAATCCTGGCTGTTCCCCTTCCAATCCAGCTCCCTGCCAGTCTGCAACAGAAGGTGGCCCGAGTGCATGGTGCCTCCCTCCCTCCCAGGTGGGAGATGCAGACGGTGCTCCTGGCTCCTGGCTTCACCCTGAACCAGCCCTGGCTGTTGCTCCCATTTGGGGACTAAACTGAGGGGGAGGATTGCCCCCCCCACTCTGACTAACAAGTAAGCCTTTAATTTTTAAAAATTTCTGCTAACAAGGAGAACGGATTTTGTGTATTTCACGGATACAGTTCTAAAACAACTATACTTCCCTTCCTCCCTCCTCCTTTCCCCTCCTTTTCTTTTTCCTTTAATTTTTTCAATAACATACTTTAAATTTACTTTATAATCATAGGCTTAGTGTTTTATTAACCATAATGTCCAAGTAAAAAGTAGAAAGACCCCTGTTCCACAGCAGTAAAGACAAGGGCTATAGACAATAATCAAAGCATAAAATGTCAGCTTCATTCTTATCCATTGATTGTTTTGTATTCCATATCAGATATCAGAGAAAATGTATTTGTCATTTTTAGGACTGTTTTTTTTTTTTTAAGATTTATTTATTTATTTGAAAGAGTTATACACAGAGAAGGAGAGGCAGAGAGAGAGAGAGAGAGAGAGGTCTTCCATCCGCTGGTTCTCTACCCAATTGGCTGCAATGGCCAGAGCTGCGCCAATCTGTAGCCAGGAGCTTCTTACGGGTCTCCCACGAGGGTGGACTTGGGCCATCTTCTACTGCTTTTCCAGGCCATAGCCGAGAGCTGGATCAGAAGTGGAGTAGTTGGGACTCAAACCAGTGCCCATGTAGGATGCCTGCAGTACAGGCTGCAGCTTTTACCCAGTACGCCACAGCGCCGGCCCCAGGACTGGCTTATTTCACTAAGTATAGTGGTCTCCAATTGTAATCATTCTGTTGCAAAAGGCAGGATTTCCTTTTTATGGCTGAGTAGTATTTCATTTGGAAAAAAGAGAAACACAGGAGTGACCTGTAAGGAGCCTATGGGCTGGGGGACTAGTAGTCACATCAGAAGGCATGAGGGGCCCCAGCCAACAGCCAGTGCTAGCTGCTAGGCTCACGAACGAGGCCAGCTCGGACCTCCCTGCCTCCCTGGGTCACCGCATGGACGCAGCCACAGGAGCGAGCCTAGTATCCCGCCAGGAGCAGAAACGGATGCTGGGAGAACGACTGTTCCCGATCATCCAAACGATGCACTCAACCCTGGCGGGCAAGATCACGGGAATGCTGTTGGAGATGGACAACTCGGAGCTGCTGCACATGCTGGAGTGTCCCGAGTTTCTCCGCTCCAAGGTGGCGGAAGCTGCGGCAATCCTACAAGGTCATCACGCCAAGAAGTAAGCTGCCCAGAAGGTGGGCGCTGCTGCTGCCACTACCTCTTAGACATGAAAAACCGATTCAAAAGCCAAGTAACCGCTCGTGGAGTTCAGCTCAGGGTTTGAAGACTTCGTAGCTTGTCCTATGGACCTCAACACTAAGAACCACATTTTGCAAATTTAATAGGTCATTTTATATCAAAAGGTCAATTAATAAAGCACCTAGAATTTTTCAATTGCCTCCAAACTGAATTTTTTAACTTTTAAACAGAAGGCATGAGGGCACTTTTCCTGGAAAATCGGCATTTGGGATGCTGGCGGAGATCTGGGGACATGCTGCAGAGGCACCCATGCGGGGTAGGGGCTGTGCATGGGGACCCAGGGGGAAACTGCCGTTCGCCTGAGAAGAGAGTGGTGGGTGAGTCTGTTTAAGCCTCCTACTGGTGCTGTGAGTAGAATTGTTAGGATCGCCGTTGTGTCGGTGAGGAAAGTAAGGCACAGGGAGCGGGAGCTGTGAACCTGGGACTCGTGGCTCCAGGAGCACCTGCTGCCCTGACTGCCGCTCCCCAGCACAGGCTGCTGGCCCGGGCCCTGGCCGCCGCGCTGAGTTTCAGGCAGGAAGTGAGCAGCAGTGTGCCCCGCGCAGTGAGGGGAGAGGAGCGATTCCACACACAGATCCCGGGACAAATGGCTACTCTGAGAGAGGCTTGCCAGGTTTCAGTTACAATGAGAAGATGAGGGGAACAGCTGCGACCACCCATGCCCCTTCCCCTCTCTGAAGCCCCCTTAAGTCCTGTAGTGTGGGATGCAGAGACCAGAGAGGAGGGCACTTGCGTTTATTTGAGGCAGGGCTGGGGCTGGAGCCAGGACCAGGAACTCAGTCCTGGTCTCCCACATGGGTATCACGGGCTTAGTTACTTGGGCGGTCACTGCTGCCTCCCAGCGCATGCTGGCGTCAGGAGCCAGAGCCGGGTATTGAACCCAGGGACTGTCATGTGGGACGCAGGCTTCTTACCTGCCAGGCTAATGCGTGCTCCCAGAAGTGAATGAAGGATATGAAGAGTTTCAGGAGCTTTCCCCAAATGCTCAGACTGCAAGGTCCGAAGCCTTGAGGACAGATGTTGTCTTTATAGTTTCTTTCCCAGCCCAGCAATGTTTTTTGTTAAAGATTTATTTTATTCATTTGAAAGAGTTACAGAGAGAGGTAGAGACAGAGAGAGAGAGAAAGAGAGGTCTTCCATCCACTGGTTCACTCCTCAAATGGCTACAATGTCCAGAGCTGAGCCTATCTAAAGCCAGGAGCCAGGAGTTTCTTCCGTGTCTCCCACATGGGTGCAGGGGCCCCCGGACTAGGGCCATCTTCTACTGCTTTCCCAGGCTATAGCAGAGAGCTGGATTGGAAGTGGAGCAGCCGGGACTCAAACTGGCCCCCGTATCCAATACTGGTGCTGCAGCCTGGGGTTTAACCTGCTGTGCCACAGCGTGCACCCAGCCTATCAGTGTTGAAAGCTGTGGTACAATGATCAAATTTAAATGAAAAAACCTAGGCTAACATGGACTTAACTGCAATGATGCCTCTCTGTCTAATGGATCTAGGTACCAAATGTCCTCATCCCTGGCCAGGGAGAGCAGGGAGAGGAGACATCTGAGAACCAAGCGGAGGGTTTTACTCAGCCCCACCTGGTAATCCATGGCTGGGCTTCTCTCCTTCTTTGCAGTGTAGGGGAATGTAACATGTGATAGCTAATGATTCAGCAACAGTCAGTCTCACATGAGGCTGTCCATGTGTGTTCCTTCCTAGCGCGCGTGCACACACATACACACAGCCTGGCCACCCACACAGACACACACACACATACACAGCCTGGCCACCCACCCACACAGACACACACACACACACACACACAGCCTGGCCACCCACCCACACAGACACATGCACACACACACAGACTCACAGACACACACACACAGCCTGGCTACCCACACAGACACACACACACACACACACACAGCCTGGCCACCCACACAGGCACACACACACACACACAGCCTGGCTACCCACACAAACATACACATACACACACAGCCTGGCCACCTACACAGACACACACAGACACACACACACACACACAGCCTGGCCACCCACACAGACACACACACACACACACACACACAGCCTGGCCACCCACACAGACACACACATACACACACAGCCTGGCCTCACATAGACACACACACACACACAGCCTGGCCACCCACACAGACACACACACACACACACACACAGCCTGGCCACCCACCCACACAGACACACACATATACACACAGCCTGGCCACCTACACAGACACACACACACACACACAGCCTGGCCACCTACACAGACACACACACACACGCACAGCCTGGCCACCTACACAGACACACACAGACACACACACACACAGCCTGGCCACCCACACAGACACACACACACACACACACACACACAGCCTGGCCACCTACACAGACACACACACACACACACACACAGCCTGGCCACCTACACAGACACAGACACACACACACACACAGCCTGGCCACCTACACAGACACAGACACACACACACACACACACACACACACACACTGGCTACCCAGAGGCAGAGGAGCTGGGGGATGCTGGGCTGCAGCACTTTCCAACTGTTGCAGGAAAAGAGGGAAGACCATGACCTGGAAGACGGAGGACAAAGGCCAGGGCAGAGCCGGGAACCTGGGGAGGGGGCGTCAATTCAGACACCACTGACTCAGGGGCCGAAGAAACACTCAGGGAGCCCACAAGTCATCCTGCTGATCCCCTGCTTTGCACAGCAGGTTGGAGAGAGCTAAATTGCCAGGAGACCACCTTCAAACCTCTTTTTGCTCATTTTACTTGC